TCTTTTAGTCACTTTCCATCAAAGTATCCATTATTCTGATGTCTACAGCATGGATTAGTTTTTCCTGTGGTTGAGTTTTATAGAAATTGAATCATGTGCTAGATACTCCTTTACTTTTTTTTTGCTCAACATTATATTTGTGAGATTCTTCCAGGTTGTTGCTGTTGCTAAAGTTAATTTATTCTTCTTGCTGTATAGTATGTCATTGTATGACTATGCCACACTTTACCCTTCTACTCCTTAGAATTGGCCATTTGGGTTGCTTCCAACTTTTGGCTACCATAAGTAGTGTGGTTATGTCCTTGTAGACTTTTGATTTTTTTTTCACTCAACTTTTAAGATGTGCAGCTCATCATATCACGCTGTAATCAAGGTGTGACAACAATAATATCATGTCATGCCACCCAGTTCTTTGGCTCCACCACCAATGTATTGCATAAAACCACTCAATTAGTCTTAGGTAATATGTGTGCATGTACATATGTGTGTGTGTGTGTGCATGTATAGATTTTTTTTCCTTTTACATCCTTGACTCACATTATATATGAAGTTCCCTATACTGCTCATGAAGCAGCTTCATTGTCTGGGGTAAATATCCAGGGTTTGTTGTCTCGCACCAAGAAGATTAAAGACATGGACACACGCAAGGAGTGAGTATAGGAGCAGAGGTTTAATAGGCAAAAGAAAGAGAAAGGAGAGCAGTTTTCTCTCTCTTACAAGACAGAGGGCATCTGAAAGGGAAAAGCTGGCCTGTGGTGGACCACAGCAGATTTTACAGGTAGGCTTCAAGAGGCAATGTCTGATTTATGTAGGGCCCATGGATTGGTTTGACCAGGTGTGACATTTACATAGTGTGTATTGAGAAATAATAACAGTTAATTTCTTTTGAATGTGCCATATAGATTAAGTGGCTTAATTTTATTTAATCCTCACTGCAACTATCTAATTGGATGTGGAGAAAGGGAAAGTAAGGAAGAGGAAGGGCTAAAAAAATGACTCTGACAACTGGATGGGGAATGGTGAGCAGGAGCAGGGGTCACAGGGAGTGACTTCAGAGTTGGACCGGTTGGAATTGAAACGACAGCTTCGGAGGTGTAAGGTGACGGAACAGGTGAGTTACACCCTAATCTTATTATGCAAATGGGCTTTCCATTTGGCCAGTGCCATCTTGTCTGCTCCTTACTGTACGCGTGGCTGGCAAAGAGAAGGGAAGTGGAGCCGCCATTGTGATCATGCCTAGTCCCAGGTAGCCTTTTCCTATTGGCACGACTGGTGGCATTCACCTGTGCAAGCTTCCAGCTTGCTTGTCTATGTCTGCAGCTTGATTTTACAGGCTGCTCTTTGTTAGAGAAGAGAATGATATTGGGGCTGCTTTTCATTAAAAGGAAAACATTACTGAGGACTTCCTTCCCCTCACTATCTGCCTAAATAATTTCTTTTTAACTCCTATATCATTGATTCCATATGACTTTGCATTGTGAGCATTTCTCACATTATAATGGTTGATATTTAGCTTATCTGCAGTTCTTGTCAATACAAATAATGCTGTGGATAAACTACCTTGGATGTCAATCTTTGTCTCTTTTGCGCCTCTACTTTGAATGGGACTGAAAATTCCCCATATGGTTAGTGTAGGATTGTGTGTAGTTTAGGGTAGCAGAGGCACTATATATCTTGTGACATATCTCACTCTATTCCATTAGTATCTTCATCTTGGAAATGAGAGCATACAGTTTCCCACTTACCTGGGTCCTCTGGATGTAGCTTGTCCAGGCCAGCGACTACATCTTTGCCCTCAAGAAATGAACACTTGCGTACGACCAACTCTTTTAATCTCGACAACTCCAGAATTTTCCTCTCAGTTTCGTTGTGGTTTACAATTGTGTAGGAGGGAAGTTAGAATTGCTTCCTCTTGGGAGAATAATCAGGCAGGAGCAGGAGATGTAAATGAAAGAGTAGAGGGACAGGCAAAGGGCAGAGGGGCTGCGGATCCATGATTTGCCCCTGTTTGGGTCTGTATTCATTTCTGTTTGGCAGCAAGGCCCAGGTATCACTTAGGTAACCACTATTTTCAGTGTCCATCCATATGGTATTATATTCCATTCATATGCCATTCTATTTCAACTGCTATTTTCAATTCCATTCATATGCTATTATGAATGTATAATTGGTGGAGTTAGGTTCCTGAGAAAGCTGAAGGGCATGGAGGCAGAGTTCATAAACATGTTCATATCTTTCCTATCGAAATAATTCCAAGGCCAGGCCTGGTGGCTCAAATTTGTAATCCCAGCACTTTGGGAGGCTGAGGCAGGAGGATCACTTGAGCTCAGAAGTTCAAGACCAGCCTGGGCAACATGGCAAAACCCTGTCTCTACAAAAAATACAAAAATTAGCCGGGCATGGTGGTGCATGCCTGTAGTCCTAGCTACTCGGGAGGTTGAGGTGGGAGAATCACGTGAACCCAGGGGGCAGGGTTGCAGTGAGCCGAGATCACGCCACTGCACTCCAACCTGGGCAATAGAGCAAGATGCTGTCTCAAAAAAAAAAAAAAAATTCACGTCATCTTGTAACCACAGTTCACTTGTCCTTCCTTCATGGCAGGGCTCTTCAAAGGAGGCAGCTGTACTTGTGTTCTTCACTTCCTCACCTCCCAAGATGTAGTTTCAATTCCAGCCAGTCCAACTCTGAAGTCATTCCCCGTGACCCCTGCTGCTCCTCACCTTTCCCCATTCAGTTGGCAGAGAGTCATTATTTTAGCTGTTCCTCTTCCTTACTTCCCCTTTCTCCACATCCAGTCAATCATGAAGACCTTCTCAGTTTACCTCTTAAATTTCTTTCACTTTACTCTCATTGTCACCACCTATAATGGTTTGCTATGGCTGCCATAACAAAGTATCACCAAGTGAGTGGATTAAATAACAGAAGCGTATTGTTCCATTGTCTCTTCTTGGCTGGAAGTGGAGGTGTTGGTGGAGTTGGTTCCTTCTGGGGGCTATGAAGGAAGGCTCTGCTCCAGCCCTCTCTCCTTGGCTGGTAGACAGCTAGCTTCATGATCATAGGTGTTCTCCTTGTATCTTTACATTGCCTTTCCCCTGTACCTGTCTGTGTCTCAATTTCCCCTTTTACCAAGGATACCAGTCATATTGGACTGGGACCCACCCTAATTATCTCATTTTACCTTGATTACCTTTGTAAAGATCCTGTCTCCAGGCTGGGCATGGTGGCTCACATCAGTAATCCCAGCACTTTGGGAGGCCCAGGCGGGCGGATCACTTGAGGTCAGGAGTTCAAGACCAGCCTGGCCAACATGGTGAAACCTTGTCTCTATTAAAAATGCAAAAAATTAGCCAGGTTTGGTGTCACACGTCTGTAGTTCCAGCTACTCAGGAGCCTGAAGCAGGAGAATCACTTGAACCTGGGAGGCAGAGGTTGCAGTGAGCCGAGATCGTGCCACTGCACTCCAGCCTGGGCAACAGAGCAAGACTCCGTCTCCAAAATAAATACATAAATAAATAAATAAACCCTATCTCCAAATGAGGTCACATTCTGAGGTGCTGGGGATGAGGACTTCAACATGGATTTTGGTGGTGGAGGGAGGACACAATACAACTCGTAACACTGCCTCTGTTTAACCCTTTAGTACTTCTCACCTATGTCATTTCTTCAGGATAAGCTTAGGACTGTCCCTGCTTCCAGCGTTGTCTTATTTCAACCCAGCCACTACTCTGCTACCAGAAGATCTCATAATACTGCCGTGGCTGTTGGGATAAGCCAAGCTCTTAACCATGCCTAGCATGCTGTTTGTGTTCTGGGCCTTTGCTCTCCTTCCGTCTTACTTCCTGCTGCTCACATAGCATTGCTGCAGCCATCATGACCCTGTGGGATCATTGCCCTGCCTTTGGGCTTGGCTATGTAAAGTTTTTCGTGCCTGCGATGGTTTCTCTCCCTACACTCCCTGATTGAATGACTCATGTTGGGTCTTCAGGCCAATTGCAGCATTATCTCCTCTGAGAAAACCTTCCCTAATTCTGGGTTTTGTGCTTTTCCTCCATGACCTAGGTCCCTTTGCCATTCCCCTGTACTACAGTTTTATTTATTTATGAGCTTAGCCACCTTACAAGATCCACATCACCAGGACATCTAGTTCAATGCCTTGTATACCAAAGGCACTCAAGACACATTTGTTGAACAAATAAATACATGAGTGAATAAGTCTTCATTTAGAAAATTGCAGTGTCAGGCCGGATGCAGTGGCTCATGTCTATAATCCCAGCACTCTGGGAGGCCAAGGCAGGCGGATTACCTGAGGTCAGGAGTTTGAGACCAGCCTGACCAACATGGTGAAACCCTGCTTCTACTGAAAATACCAAATTAGCTGGGCGTGATGGTACATGCCTGTAATCCCAGTTCCTTGGGAGGCTGAGGCAGGAGAATTGCTTGAACCTGGGAGGCAGAGGTTGCGGTGAGCTGAGATTGTGCCATTGCACTCCAGCCTGGGCAACAGGAGTGAAACTCCATTTCAAAAAAGAAAGAAAGGAAGGAAGGAAAGAAGGAAGGAAGGAAGGAAGGAAAAAAGGAAAACAGCAGTGTTGGCTGAGTGCCGTGGTTCATGCCTGTAATCCCAGCACTTTGGGAGGCCGAGGTGGGCGGACCACCTGAGGTTGGGAGTTTGAGACCAGCCTGGCCAACATGGTGAAACCTTGTCTCTACTAAAAATACAAAAAAAAAAAATTAGCCAGGCATGGTGGCACGTGCCTGTGATCCTAGCTACTTGGAAGGCTAAGGCAGGAGAATCCTTTGAACCCAGGGGGTGGAGATTGCGGTGAGCTGCGACTGTGACATTGCACTCCAGCCGGTGCAACAAGAACAAAACTCCATCTCAAAAGAAAAAAAAAAAAAAAGAAAATTGAAAATTGCAGTGTCACAGTGAGTAAGCAGGCTAGTGGTAACAGGAACAAGGAGAGGCACAATAAAAGGTGTGGTAATTGGAGTGGGTTTATAATTCTCACCTGAGGAGAAACACAGCATTTCGGCTGGTGTTGCTGCTCCAGGGAAAGTTCTTCTACTCCATCGACTCTCTCTTTTCCTGGTAACATGGCCAGCAAGAAAGTAATTACAGTGTTTGGAGCAACAGGTAAAAAGTCTTTAATTTTTAGGCCCTGCTGACTTTGCTCACTCTCTTGTCTTCCTGTTTGTAATTTCAGAGCCTGCAAGAGTGGGCTGAACAAAGAGCCCTTTGGAAGAAATTTTTTAAAGTATCCTATTGCTTTAGTTCTTGATGTGGTAAAGGGGTGGCATGATTTGATTTGTAACTTGATCTCAGCAGGACAAGGACACTGACGTTATCTCCCTTTCCCAATCATGGGGCTAACTTGTTGGTGTAAGTTTCGTTTCAACATAAGCTATATTCTGAAGTCTTCTCTCCACTCACTTCCTAATAAGCAAAAGGTACAAGTGTGAGACGCCTGTGGGTTTGTAGTGAATATCCAGCGCCTGACCAATCTTCCAGGAGGTCTGCAAGGATGGAATGTGCGGGGAGTTTACCTTCCTGGCTCCCTTACAGTTTGTTCCTCAACAGTCAGAGCCATCTTTGCACAATGTAAATCAAATCAAGTTATTCTCCTTCAATCTATTCTCATTTCAGCCTCCCAAGGATCCATGTGAAACTGTCAGATCATGTCAGGTCTCTGCTCAAAACCCTCTAAAAACTCCCAGCCCCATGGCACTCCCAGTAAAGTGCAAAGTCCTGCTAATGCCCTGCAACAGGGCCTTGGAAATGCCTTGTCAGACCTCTCTTCCTGCCATTCTTCCCTCACTTTGCTTCATTACCCTGGCTTTCTTGCTGTTCCTCCAAAACACCCCCACAGTACAAGGCTCTGGCCTTTGTATTGGCTGCTTCTTCAACCTAGAATGATCTCCGTCTGTTACTATCTCATCTTGAATTGTAGTTCCCGTAATTCCCACATGTCATAGGAGTCACCAGGTGGAGATAAATGAATTTTGGGGGTGGTTGCCCCATCCTGTTCTCGTGATAGTGAAACGGGAGAGTTCTCTGGTCCCCTGCCACAAGATGTGCGATGGGGGTGTGGCTCTCTGTTCTGCCACTGCAAGCTCAAACCCTTTAAGGGAGGGGGAGCACGCATACAGGCAGGTGCAGGAACTGGGGCAAGTGCTTTTGGGCTTCCGCCTTATGGCAGCATCTAAGGGTGGGTGTCTATAACTTTCAAAGCCCAAGTGTGCATGTATTACAGTGTACCCTTTTAGCCTTGCCATCCGCAAGTAGTTTAAGGGTTAACCAGCTCAGTGAATCCTCTGCCTTTTTGCAAAAGGAGGGGGCTAGTGTGACAGTTTTCTGTATCCCAAGCTCTCATCCAGCATCCCAGAAGAATCGGGTCACACATGGACTTGAAGGATGAATGCAGGGGTTTTATTGAGTGGTGAAAGTGGCTCTCAGTGGGATGGATGGGGGGCTAGATAGGGGATGGAGTAGGAATATGATCTTCCCCTGGAGTCTGGCCAATTCTCTGAACATCCCCAGCCAAACTCCTCCTGACATTCCTTCTCTTCTCTCCTCTGCTGCACCATTCTGTTGTCTGTCTCCTCGTCTCCTAGTCTGCTTCTGGAGCCTGGGGTTTGGGGCTTATATGGGTACAGGATAGGGAACATGGCAGGCCAAAAGGCAACTTTTGGGGTGCAAAAACAGGAATGCTTATTTCTCACTTAGGGCAGCAGGTATCCAGGTTTGAGGGTGGGGCCTTTGCCAGGAACTGCCCTCTTCTACCCAGTATTTCCCTGTCTCCTGTTCGTATCAATAGTGAGTTAGTTCTCACGAGATCTGGTGGTTTTACAAGGGTCTTCCCCCTTCACTGGGCACTCATTTTCTCTGCTGCCACCCTGTGAAGTGGTGTTTCCTGCCATGATTGTAAGTTTCCTGAGACCTCCCTAGCCATGTGAAACTGTGAGTCAATTAAACCTCTTTTCTTTACAAATTACCCAGTGTTGGGTATTTCTTCACAGCAGCGTGAGAAAGGGCTAATACAGTTACCCATTGCTTTCTTCCTCATGTCATTCAGGTCTCTGGTTAGATGTTACCTTTTCCATGAGGACTTTCCAGACCTCTATATTTGAAATTGCAACTCTGCTTCCACCCTGCCCATGTCTGGCTCCTTTCCTTACTTGATTTCTTCTATTTCTGCCTGTCTTTCCACACTAGAATATAAGCTCTATGAGAACAGGAATTTGTCTGGAGGAAGTCAAGGGCTAAAACAGGAAGCAGAGCGAAATAAATTATCAAAAATCAACAGTCAAGTATGATATTAAAAGGAGAAGAGGCGATGGGGTCAGGGATGACTCTATTAAGCGTTAGGGTGATGGTAAAGATGTTGGCTTTTCCTGAAAGAGAAAAGTGATCAAAGGGTTTGGTTTTTTCAGTGTGTTTGTGTTTAGCTACAGGGTCTCACTGTGTTGTCTGGGTTGGAGTATAGTGACTCTCACAGGAGCCATCATAGTACACAGCCTCAAACTCTTGGGCTCAAGTGATCTTCCCGCCTCAGCCTCCCAAGTAGCTGGGATGGCAGGATTGCAACAGCATGCAGGCATTAAAGGATTTTGAGCAGAGGAATGACATGACTTTGGTGTTAAAAGGATCATTTTAGCTTATGCTTTGTGAAGGGACTATAGGGGGTAAGAACTGAAGCAGGGAGACCTGTTAGGAGGCGGTTGTCATAAAATAGGCAAGATGATAGTAGCTTAGACCAGGGTGGTAGCAATGAGGTTGTGGAGAGTGGTTAGATTCTGTGGAGGTTTTAAAAGCAGAGTTGGCAGGATTTGGTTTTGGAGCAGACATCAGGGTTAAGAAGGGAAGAGTTGAAAATGACTCTAAAGTTTTATGGCTTGAGTAACTGGAAGAATGAAGTTGAGATTCACTGAAATATGGGAGACAGTGGGGAGGAGGAGAAGGTCAGGAGCTCCTTAAACTTGAATTGGTCTCATTAAACTTGAATTGCCAACTAGGCATCCAGAGACTGGGGAGGCAGTTGGATAAGATTTTTGGGAGAGGCCAGTCACTCTATTAATTCTGTCTCCTAAATCTCTCTCAGATTTTTTCCATTCTCCCTCTTAGAAGCTTTTTCCACACTCATTTGCCTTCTCTCCATGTTCTACCTTTAAACAGAATCATCTTTCAAATCTGATTAATTTTTCAAACCTTGTAGCCAGCTACTACCACCTTGTATCACATTCCCGTTCTCCTTCATTACTGCCCAAGATGTAAGCCCCTCTAGTTTTTAGTCTCAACCCTATATTTCTCCATGCATCCTTTCCCTGACCCCACATCTCAGACTCCCTTGCCTCCAAAACCTTCTCATGGTACCCTTCTGTTCCAACATCAACATCTTGCTAAATGCCCCCTCAGCCTCTTTGAATAAATGGTCACTTGACTTTTCTCTCTCAATCCTTCCTGCTCATCATCACCACATCCAGTTAATCACCAAAATCCTGTTGATATCATCTTGTCAAGGAAAATAGTGAAAGACTTTGAAATGGGAAAAAAAGACTGGATGTCCGTGCCCAAGGCACCATTATCAGTTTTGTGAGCCTTTCCTTGTTTTTAAGATATTTATAACTCTATAAATTGTAGCAAATACATAATAACGCAACAGATTCTTAACCATAGAAATGCAAATGAAGGCCAGATGCAGTGGCTCCCGCCTGTAATCCTAGCACTTTGGGAGGCCGAGGTGGGCTGATCATGAGGTCAGTAGTTTTAGACCAGCCTGGCCAATGTGGTAAAACCCCGTCTCTACTGAAAATACAAAAATTAGCAAGGCGTGGTGGCGCATGCCTGTAGTCCCAGCTACTCGGGAGGCTAAGGCAGGATAATTGCTTGAACCCAGGAGGTGGGAGTTACAGTGAGCCGAGACTGTGCCATTGCACTCCAGCCTGGGCAACAGAGCAAGACTCTGTCTCAAAAAAAAAAAAAAAAAGAAATGCAAATGAATTGTGTCTGGTAGACCACAATCGATCATTGCCTAGAGGATATTGACTGGTTTTGTCCCTAATTGTACATTCGTTTTAGCATTTTGGCATTCTTGATTGCCTACATATATGTGTGTTCTTTGAATTTTTCTTATAACATTGTACTGGTTCCCTCATTAATTAATGAGTTAAATAGAATTTTGACACTTTCATTTTGTGTGTGTATAAATTATTATTTACTCTTTAAAAATGTATCCTTTAATATTCTGAGTATCTCTTAAATTTGCCTTATTCCCTCCACCTGAATAACCCCTTCTAGCACAGGTCATCATCAACCTTTACCTAGATTATTTTAAAGCCCACTAATTGTACCCTTGCCTGTGGTCTCTCTATCCTATTCCACACTCTCTATTAACCAGAGCGCTTTCCCAGCGTGTAATTCTGAACATACTGCTTAACTTCATAAAATCTCCTGTTCCCAGAACAAAGTGCAGCCCTGTAGACCTATTTTACTTCTCTAGCCTCATGTGTGACATTGACCTGCAGTTCTCAGTCAGACTGATTTCAGTTCTCTGAATTCACTGCCTTCTCTCTCACCTCTGGAATAAAGCACTTGCAATCCTCTTTGCATGCAGCACACTCCACATGCCTCTCCTAATTCTTGCCTGTTCTTTAGGGCTCACTTCTGTTACCACTTCCTTCAGGAAGCCTCCCTCTAGTCTGGGTTAGATGCTCCATTTAAGTCCTCCTCTGGAGCCTGTATTCTCTCAATCCCTTTCCCCCTCCCCTAATAGCACATATTACACGGTATTATAATTGCTCTTTAATGATCTCCCCTGCTAGTCTGTAAGCTCTGTGCAGGCAGGTGCCACTTTCAGGTTTGAATCCTGAAATCCTTACCTAAGCAGCTCTAGGATCTGGGGTAAATCCTTGAACTCTTTAGGCCATAATCCAACCTATTAATAATGTCTTTCATAAATTTTATCGTATATCCAACATGTTCAAACCTGCTATTGTTTACCACTACATCCCCAGGGCATAGCACAGGATGTAAGAGTCATTCACAAACATGGTCCCAGGACAATAATAGAAACTTTCCTATAAAAATCCTTTTCAAGGACCATGACCCACCCCACCTACTCCAGCACCCCCCACCCCCCTGCCAAAAGCACAAATTATACTCAAATAGAAGGTACTTCAGTTTGTTTAGGTTTTTATTTTATAAAGTCAGAGTAAAATATTCAACTCACCTGCTTTTTAATTGTGAATGATTCCATATAATGGCCATCCTAGGAGGGATGAAAAAAGGTTTTGTTTTATTTTCTCTAATTTATGAAGAAAAAAAGGTTTATTTGATTAATGATTCTAGTGGCTGGGAAGTTCAAGATTGTGCATCTGCATCTGATGAGGGCCTCAGGCTGCTTCCACCCATGATAGAACGTAAAGGGGAGCTGGCATGTGCAGAGATCACATGGAGAGAGAGAGGAAGCAAGAGGAGAAGGGTGGAGGTGCCAGGCTCATTTTAACAACCAGCTCTAAGGAACTAATAGATGAGAACTCACCCCTGAGGGAGGGCATTAATCTGTTCATGAGGGATCTGCTCCCATGACCCAAACACCTCCAATTAGGCTCCAATATTGGGAATCACATTTCAACATGAGGTTTGCAGGGGACAAATATCCAAACCAGCACCCAGTGTTCTGCAATTTCACAGTGATGTGCATAAAGTGGGAATTCATTTGTCAATGTATTGGGCACTCAGTGACCTCTCAATTTGGAAGCTCAGTTAATATCCTTGGACTCAGAGAAATTACTATTTTCTTAGATAATTTCAATACCTCCATCTGTTTTCTCATTCTGTAATTCCCCTGGCTTGATCTTCTAATTATTTTCCTCCTTCTTGCTTGCTCTCTTTCTCTTGTCTCTTCTTCTCCTCTTTTTGGGCTGATATAGCATCTGGAATGCAAAACCTTTTCTAATCTCAGAGGATATTAATTCCGAGTCTTGCTCTGTCACCCAGGCTGGAGCACAATGGCGAGATCTTGGCTTACTGCAACCTCTGCCTCCCGGGTTCAAATGCTTCTCCTGCCTCAGCCTCCCAAGTAGCTGGGATTGTAGGCACTCGCCATCACACCTGGCTAATTTTTGTATTTTTAGTAGAGATGGGGTTTTACTATGTTGGCAAGACTGGTCTCAAACTCTGACATCAAGTGATCAGCCAGTCTCGACCTCCCAAAGTGCTGGGATTACAGGATTAAGCCACTGTGCCCGGCCCCAGAGGATATTAATTCTTTTTAATTTTTTTATTCAGTTCTCTGGACTGTTTCTGTTTCCATCAGTTTGTTTATTTTGGGTTTGCCTTTCATGTTGGAGGCTTTCCTCAAACATATGATGAACTTTGACTGTTCATATTTACTAGTAGACAATTTACTATGAAATTTACTATGAAACCCTGTGTGCAAAGACAGAGCTCACTGAATAACCCCTGACCCTCCTATAGGGTTATCAGTGGTGTATTAACTGGGGTCCCACAAGAAACAGGTGCCACACTCCTTCAGAGAAGCTGAGAACAATTTAAAAACAGTGGACAAGGAAGACAGCAATAAGGAAAAAGTAAGCAACAAGAGGAAGGAGAAAAGGGCAAGAGAGATGACCAGAACTTGGGGACAGTAGCGATGTGAAAGGGGTCATCTCTCTTGCCCTTGGGTCTCTGGCTGATGTCTCTCATTGCCTAGACCCAACCTGAGGGCACGAGAGGGACTCCATGAGGATCAACTGTTGAGTGCACTAAGTAGAACAGAGAAAGTGAATATGGAGGTGGAAGCACAAAAAAGTATCCAGGACAGGTATCCAGCCAATGTGATGGAGGAGCCCAAATGTTAGTAACCCAACATAGCACCTGGCCTATATCACAGGATATTCCATAAATATTTGCAGGGTGAATAAATCAGGCAAGTAATGATCATATCATAATCGGCCTCGAATGTGGTAAAAAATGTTTACAAGTTTTTAAATTTCTAAAAAAATATAAACCAGGGCCAGGTACAGTGGCTCATGCCTGTAATCCCAGCACTTTGGGAGGCCGAGGTGGGTGGATCACCTGAGGTCAGGAGTTTGAGACCAGCCTGACCAACATGGTGAAACCCCGCTTCTACTAAAAATACAAAATTAGCTGGGCACATGCCTGTAATCCCAGCTACTCGGCAGACTGAGGCAGGAAAATCGCTTAAACCCAGGAGGCAGAGGTTGCAGTGAGCTGAGATTGCACCATTGCACCCCAGCCTAGGCAACAAGAACAAAACTCCGTCTCAAAAAAAAAAACAAACATATATATATATGTGTGTATATGTGTGTGTGTGTATATATATATATATGTATATATATATATATATAGAGAGAGAGAGAGAGAGAGAGAGAGAGAGAGAGCGCACAGGAACTTCTTTTGATGAATTGTCTGAATAACCCCAACATAAGATCTACAACCAGGTAAAAGTAGAATAATTTCCCTTGTTGAATTTGGAGAACCTGTGGGCATCCCTAATTTTGACACCCTGCTCACTTGCCCTTCTTGTTGCCTCAAGCCTCTCCCACTTCTCTCTTCCCATGTCCTCTGCAAAAATGCCTCCTAAGAGGCCACAAAGAACTTAGTTTGAAAGCCATGGGGATATGTGAAGTGCCATGTAGCACCCTCTGAAGTAGGTACTACAGCAGCTCTACTCTGAATCATGGGATTTCTGGCCTTCTTTCAGTGAACATTCTTCTTGATCCTTCCTGTGTTTCTTCTTCCCTTGACCCTGCAGGAGCTCAAGGTGGCTCTGTGGCCAGGGCAATTTTGGAGAGCAAAAAATTTGCAGTGAGAGCAGTGACCAGGGATGTAACTCGACCAAAAGCCCTGGAGCTCCAGCGCCTTGGAGCTGAGGTGGTAAAAGGTGACCTGAATGATAAAGCATCCGTGGACAGTGCCTTAAAAGGTGCCTATGGGGTCTTCTTGGTGACCAACTTCTGGGACGCTCTCAACAAAGATAAGGAAGTGTTTCAGGTAGAAACCAAATTCTTTCTTTTTTCCTTTGAGCCCTTTCCTCTTACCCTCCCTAGCAGCTTCTTTCCTTCCTAGAAGGGGACAGGCCTTCAATCTGGGCAAATATATGTCTTACATCCCCTTTGGCATTTATAAAAAACATGTACTTTAAGTACTTGTTAAAGGTATTTTTGTAAAATTAATGTTATGTAGCATCTGTCTAGGTCTCAAGACCTTGAATATTCCAGAGTGACCGTTTAATGAAGCTAGTCATTGGATTATGTACTTCTCACTATTTGTTTGTACATGGCATGGGGGGTGGTAGCAAGGGTATCCCCAAATTTGAGGCTAGTCTGAGAGTGAAACGGAAAGAATAAAGATGTAATTTACACTTCATTTACACTTCAGATAGATAATTTGGGGATGGGAACATAGAAAAAGAAATAAATGAGCAAACAAACCCACAGTAAATTAAATTCAGGGAAAATGAAAGTTTGTAGAAAAAGTAAACGTAGGCTGGGCGCAGTGGCTCACGCCTGTAATCCCAGCACTTTTGGAGGCCAAGGCGGATGGATCACCTGAGGTTGGGAGTTTGAGACCAGCCTGAACAACATGGTGAAACCCTGTCTCTACTAAAAATACAAAATTAGCCGGGCGTGGTGGTGCATGCCTGTAATCCCAGCTAATTGGGAGGCTGAGGCAGGAGAATCGGTTGAACCTGGGAGTTGGAGGTTGCAGTGAGCCAAGATCGGACTATTTCTCTCCAGTGTGGGCAACAAGAGTGAAAGTCCGTCTCAAAAAAAAAAAAAAAAAAAAAAGAAAAAAAAGAAAAAGAAGAAATAAATGTAACCATAGAATATCACATAACTCAGCTTCAGCTGTGTGTAAGCACTAAATATTGATCTAGCCAAAAACAATGATTGGGAGAATGAAAAAAGGGAATTGTGTATATGTGTGGTGGTGGTGGTGCTGGTGGACAACGTGAGTGAGTAAGAGAGGAGACAGAGCGAGTGAGTGAGAGAGAATAATTAAATCCTCATCTTTCATAGTAGGAATTTAGTTGATGATATTTCAAATTGAAAAAATCGAGAATTAGTGGTATAAACATTTACAAAAATAAACAGCTAAATGAAATTGAAGTGTTACTTCTGGAGAACAGTAATCAGCATGGGGCACAGGGAACTTATTTTATTTTATTTGTTTTATTTTATTTTTTTAGAGACAGGGTCTCACTATGTTACCCATGCTGGTCCTGAACTCCTGGGCTCAAGTAATCCTCCCATCTCAGCCTCTTGGGAATTTCTTTTTCACTATAAGATCCATTCCCTCCCAACCCATGACAGTACTATTTGAAATTTTAAACTATGTATGTGTATACATTTGAGAAAAAATGAAGATTACATTTAAAAAAATATAATGGATGGTATTAGCCACTTGAAGAAATGGTACAATTCAAACAATCGAGAGCAGGATCAAACTGTTCCAGGAATGTCTCTTGAATTAATGATACCATTCACAGCCTGTGTTTTAGTGATAAACTCTGGAAGGGCTTATTTTAGGAGACTTGAATTCTACTTCTGATATTCACTTACTAGGAAACGGAGGGGCACAAGTCACCTCTCGGCTTCACTTCCTGCCTCTGCTAACCCAGGTCAATTATGTCTTCTCTGCCTGCTGCATGAGGTTTTGTAAGGAAAAGTAAGAAAGAAAACGCAAAAAGGAAGGAAAAAAAGAAGAGAGAGATGAAAGTGCTTTGGAAAATTTGGACCTAAAAACACACAAAAAAGAGAATATATATACTTATGTGTTTGTGTGTGTGTATGTACGCCTCCATTATGCCCTCAATATCCAAATGGTGTGTAGATATAGTCCATTACTAGACACAATTATAGAAAATAAATAAATGCGATTGCAGTTGATCACAAAGACACTGAGCCCAGAGAAAAAGGCCATCTCTTCCTGGCCAGTTGCCACCAGGTTGCTTCTTAGCTTCAGACAGGTATCTGGGGTTCCTTTCTCCTCTGCCTCCTCCCTAATTTCTTATTCTACTACTCCCCCACCTCCGGTGTTCTGCTGACAGCCCCCATGGGAGCAGGCTGAGGAGTTGGGGGTTTTGGAGTGGAGCCTCTGCTCAGCAATGCTGGTGTGGTGGCCTCTCATAAGGTAAATTGAATATATTTTGAGGCTGGTAGAGCTTCCTCTCCATAGGGATGAGGGTAATAAGAAAAGGAGCGGGTGGACCTGGCGCCGTGGCTCAGGCCTGTAATCCCAACAGTTTTGGAGTCCGAGGTAGGCAGATGACTTGAGATCAGGAGTTTGAGACCAGCCTGGCCGTATGGTGAAACCCCATCTCTATTAAAAAATACAAAAAACTAGCTGGGCGTGGTGGTGCCCACTTGTAATCCCAGCTACTCGGGAGGCTGAGCCAGGAGAATCACTTGAATCCAGGGGGCAGAAGTTGCAGTGAGTGGAAATCATGAGACTCTGTCTAAAAAAAAAAAAAGCAGGGGGCAGGGAGGGAGAGGGGAGTGGAGGAGATTCTGCTCTGAATATCTGTCCGAATGCAAATACAAATACAGCGGCCTATATGAGGATTTACTTTTGACCCTCAGGGGAAGCTGGTGGCAGACACCGCCAAGCATCTGGGTCTGAAGCACGTGGTTTACAGCGGCCTGGAGAACGTCAAGCGGCTGACGGATGGCAAGCTGCAGGTGCCGCACTTTGACAGCAAGGGCGAGGTGGAGGAGTACTTTTGGTCCATTGGCATCCCCACGACCAGTGTCCGCGTGGCGGCCTACTTTGAAAACTTTCTCACGGCGTGGCGGCCCGTGAAGGCCTCTGATGGAGATTACTACACCTTGGGTAAAACGAAATGAAAGCTCACCGGGCACCTGGTTGCCCTCCTCTCCACTCACCTGCCTCCCTCTTTCCCTTCTTTCCCCTCTGCAGTGGACACCTACCATTTGAGTGCCTTCTATGTGTTTAGCTCTGTGTGAAGTGCTGAGAGGGATGCCAAATTGTCCTAGGCTTCTCTAGGGCACTACACTAAATTGCTCTTCTAGGGCAGAGAACTAGATCTGGGATCAGAAGCACAAAGGGTTACATTTCCAATCTTAACATACTGAGCCTCCTTAATGTAAGTACTGGAGTTAGCTATGTGACCTCCAACCTCAGTTTCCTCAGGTTATTTTTATTTTTATTTTTTGAAATGGAGTCTTGCTCTGTCGCCCAGTCTGAGTGCAGCAGCATGATCTTGGCTCACTGCAACCTCCACAGCCTGGGTTCAAGCGATTCTTGTGCCTCAGCCTCCTGAGTGGCTGGGATTACACGCACCCGCCACCACACCTGGCTAATTTTTGCATTTTTAAATAGATACAGGGTTTCACCATGTTGACCAGGCTAGTCTCAAACTCCGGAACTCAAGGGATCCGGCCAACTCAGCCTCCCAAAATAATGGGATTACAGGTGTGAGCCACCATGGCTGGCAGTTTCCTCAGGTTTAATGGGAAAATTGGACAAGATGACTTTTTTTTTTTTTTTTTTGAGTCTGGGTCTCTGCTGCCCAGGCTGGAATGCAGTGGGTCTTTCGCCCATACTGGGTTTCATTGCTCACTGTGCAGCCTCGAACTTTTGGGCTCAAGCATCCTCCTACCTCAGCCTCCTGAGTAGCTAGGACTACAGGGGTATACCATCACATCTGGCCAATTCTTATTTTATTTTATTTTTGTAGAAGTGGGGTCTCTCTTTGTTGCCCAGGCTGGTCTTGACCTCCTGGGCTTTAGTGATCCTCCCGCCTCTGCCTCCCAAAGTGCTGTGATTACAGGTGTGCGCCACCATGCCCAGCCTCAGGATGACTTCTAAGAGCCCTTCTAGCTCATCCATCTGACCTTCTGTGGCAACAATGGAGGAAAAGTGTTCTTCTGATCTGGGTCCCATGGTCAGAATTAGAGCTTAGAGGGACTGTGACCTGCCTGGGAGACAGGTTCCCAGGCCCTACCTGCACAGAGTCCAATTCCATAGGTCTGGGTTGACACCTGGGAGTTTTAACAAGGGCTCCAGGTAATTCCAATGCTGCTGGTCCACTGGCTGGCATTCCCCTTCCCTTTGGGGACACTTTCTGTGGCCATGGTCAGAGTTGGCCTTTGTGCAGTAGATGGAATGTGGAAATACCAATGACAACAATTCAGGCTTTCTTCCTTGATTCAGAATTAACACTCATCAGAAGCTGGGAGGGGTGGCCTGTGGTCCCAGCTACTCAGGAGGCTTAGGTGACAGGATCGTTTGAAATAGAATGAGGGACGGGAGGGTAGTAGAAGGTGAAGTCAGAACTAACAGAGGGTCTGGTTGTGTAAGCTTCGTAAACAACTAGCTTTTCCTCTGAGAGACACAGAGAGCTATCAGAAGGTTCTGAGCAGGCAGGGCCAGGTGCGGTGGCTCACGCCTGTAATCCTAGCACTTTGGGAGGCCGTGGCAGGCAGATCACTTGAAGCCAGGAGTTTGAGACCGGCCTGGCTAAGATGAGGAAACCCCGTCTCTACTAAAAGTACAAAATTTAGCTGGGTATGGTGGTAGGTGCTTGTAATCCCAGCTACTGGGGAGGCTGAGGCAGAATTACTTGAACCTGGGAGGCAGAGGTTGCAGTGAGCTGGGATTGCACTACTGCACTCCAGCCTGGGTGACACAGCGAGACTCCATCTCAGAAAAAAAAAGAAGGTTCTGAGCAGATGTAACGTTCACCTGAGCTGAGTTTTTTACAGGGTCACTCTGATTTTTATGTTGAAAAGAGACTATGAAAGGGCAAGAGTTTGGCCAGGCGCGGTGGCTTACACCTGTAATCCCAGCTCTTTGGGGGACTGAGGCTGGTGGATCATGAGGTCAGGAGTTTGAGACCAGCCTCATCAAGAAAGTGAAACCCCGTCTCTGCTAAAAATACAAAAATTTGCTGAGCATGCGTGCCTGTAATCCCAGCTACTCGGGAGGCTGAGGCAGAAGAATTGCTTGAACCCAGGAGGCGGAGGTTGCAGTGAGCTGAGATCACGCCACTGCACACTCTAGCCTGGGTGACGAGCAAGGCTCTGTCTCAAAAAAAATTTTTTTTTTCATATTTTTAGTAGAGACGGGGTTTCACCGTATTAGCAAGGATGCTCTCGATCTCCTGATCTCGTGATCCGCCCCTCGGTCTCCCAAAGTGCTGGGATTAAAGGCATGAGCCACTTCACCTTGGCTGTTATAGCATTTCTGACAGGCTGCCTGGACAACATGGTGAAACACTGTCTGTACTGAAAATACACAAATCAGCCTGGTATGGTAGTGGGTGCCTGTAATTCCAGCACTTTGGGAGGCCAAGGCGGGCGGATCATGAGGTCAGGAGATCGAGACCATCCTGGCTAACACGATGAAACCTTGTCTCTACTAAAAATACAAAAAATTAGCTGGGTTTGGTGGCAGGCGCCTGTAGTCCCAGCTACTCAGGAGTCTGAGGCAGGAGAATGGGGTGAACCCGGGAGGCAGAGCTTGCAGTGAGCAGAGATCGCGCCACTACACTCCAGCCTGGGCGAAAGTGCAAGACTCCGTCTCAAAAAAAAAACAAAAACAAAAACAAAAAAACAAAAAAAAAGCAAAACAAAACAAAACAAAAAGAAAGGGCAAGAGTGAAAACAAGGAGACAAATTTTGCAATAACTCAAGTCACGAATGATGGTGGCTTGGACCAGGGTGGTAGCATTGAAGATGATGAGAAGTGGCCAGATTTTGTACATATCGTGCATATGATTTCCAAAGAAAAAAAAAACAGGATATGGGATGTGAGAGAAGTGTCAAGGCTGACTGCAAGATTTGTGACCTGAGAAATCAGAATGATAGAGTTGCCATTAGCTGAGGTGGGAGGCTGTAGGGAAGTTGTTGGGGAGTGTAGTTCAGTTTGGGGTCTGTTGAGTTTAAGATGTCTATAGAACAGTCAAGTAAGGATTTGAGTACGTAGTGGGACACATGAGTCTGGAATTCAGCAGAAGTTTTGGCTGGAGATATGTTTAATCATATTTTACATACAGCAGATATTTAGTAAATAGTTGCTCTTGTTAATCAATATCCATACACTGTAGTATTCTCTCTCTTTTTTTTTTTTTGAGATGAAGTCTTGCTCTGTTACCCAGGCTGGAGTGCAGTGGCACGATCTCGGCTAACGGCAACCTCTGCCTTCTGGGTTCAAGTAATTCTCCTGCCTCAGCCTCCGGAGTAGCTGGGATTACAAGCACGCACCATCACATCTGGCTAATTTTTGTATTTTTAGTAGAGACAGGGTTTCGCCATGTTGGCCAGGCTGGTCTCGAACTCCTGACCTTAGGTGATGTGCTCGCCTCGGCCTCCCAAAGTGCTGGGATTACGGGTGTGAGACACTGCACTCGACCTGTAATTTCTCAAACAAAACCTTGTAACTGTGTATAGATTGTGGCCACTGGGTTTTACATTGCCTTCCCACACCTTTTGTTTAAGTGATTGATTAGTTTGGGTTGGTGGGACCTACCAAGGATGTGATATAATTAACTGCTTATCTTTTTCTATTTTTTTTTTTTTAAATTAGCTGTGCCAATGGGAGATGTACCAATGGATGGTATCTCTGTTGCTGATATTGGAGCAGCGGTCTCTAACATTTTTAATTCTCCAGAGGAATTTTTAGGCAAGGCCGTGGGGCTCAGTGCAGAAGCACTAACAGTACAGCAATATGCTGATGTTTTGTCCAAGGTTTTGGGGAAGAAAGTCCGAGATGCAAAGGTGAGTTCTTAGGGGAACGTCCATGTGATCACAAGAGACTACCTTGGTTAACATTCCACTGACTTACAAATTTTGGTAGACTGTGGATTTAGGCAGGATTGAACTTAAACTTTCAGAAGAAATTGAGAAGGACTGTGGTTGCATAAATCTAACTTCGTTGATTGCAGCAGTAGAATCTCTCCCATACAGCTTTATTTCTTTGGCTTAGGGTTAATTGACTTGTAAAAGTAAAATTACTTTTGAGTGGAAAGAACTTAGAATGTGAAGATTGAGATACAGCCTTTTCACACACACAGTCCCAACTCCTCTCATAAGCCCTTGCTGCTGACCACCTCGGTTGACCAGAACTAGCTGATGTGGAACAAGGCACTTAGCTTCATTGAGCCTCAGCTTCCTCAGTCGCAAAGTGGGGAATGATAGTATCTACTTCGGGTGTTCCTGTGCAAATTACAGAGAATATATTTAAAGGGCTTATCATAGTGTTTGGCACATAGCAGTGATGTATCGAGTCTCTGTGATGAACCCAGTGCTACTTTAAGGAATTCGCAGCAAGGTTGGAGTGAAAATGTTGATGCCCATCAAGTCACCATGATCATTATAACACATAACTCTATAGGTGCTTAATTGTGTTGTTCAGACTATCAGTGCTATAGGTGACCAGAAAACAGTGGAAGAAGGTTTCATGGAAGACGTGGGCTTGAGTTGGTCCTTGAGGGAACACGACTGTGTATAGATAGAGGGGGCACCAAGAAGGCTGGCCTGGCTGATTCTAGAATAAACACAACAAAAAAGAGGCAGTATGGGAAGGAGGCAGATTCTGGCTCTGCTCCGATCCTTGGTAATTTACTTAACCCCTCTCCATCTCAGTTTCTTCATATGTTCCAAAAAAAGTTGTTATACCTCCTTCATGGGATCATTGTGAGGATGAAATGAGATCTGTACAGCAGGTGCTTGGCACTGGGTCTGGCACTTAGTAAGCCCTCAACAACTGATCATGCTATAAATCATGCAGGAATAGCCTCCTTGTGTGGGTGGCTGCCTTCTTGGGCTTGGGGGTAAGTTATTTTCTCCAAGGAATTGTGCCTGGCCAGGACAGACTTTTTACAGAAGAGTGAGAATTAGTGATATTGAGCATTACCAGCCATTTCCCCAAGCAGGTATTGATAAGAGGAAAGGAAAAGAAAACAGGCTGTTTTCAGGGTACACTGATAGAGTTGAGTAGTTCCAATAGAGACCTTATGGCCCACAAAGCCTACAATATTTATGTCTAGGCCTTTAAAGAAAAGTTTGTTTCCCAGCACTTTGGGAGGCCAAGGAGGGTGGATCACAAGGTCAGGAATTTGAGACTAGCCTGGCCAACATGGTGAAACCCCGTCTCTACTAAAAATACAAAAATTAGCTGGGCATGGTGGTGGGCACCTGTAATCCCAGCTACTGGGGAGGCTGAGGCAGGAAAATTGTTTGAACCCAGGAGGTGGAGGTTGCAGTGAGCCAAGATTGCGCCATCGCACTCCAGCCTGGGTGACAAGGCGAGACTCCGTATCAAAAACAAAACAAAAATAAAAAATAAAAAAAGGTTTGTTGACATATGTTCTAGAACATTTCCTAGAATTAGGAATAGAAGTTTGGATCAGCAGCTCTTGTGCTTCTAGAGGGGGTATCTAGATTCCCAATTCAGCCTCGGGTACTGAAGTTGTGAGGAGGCAAAGGATTTTTTTTTTTTCTGGAAAACCAGTGTAGGAGTCAATCCAGCCACAAAACCACATCTGGTTATCTCATTGAAGCCACACACACATTTCTTGGAGAGATTAAGTTACTCCTATACCCAAGAAGGCAGCCACCCACTCAAAGATGGGCTCACAAGAGGATCTGCAAGGTTCCTTGTACCTGGGTGCACACTTACTTCTCAGTGACCCTTCTCCCAGGCCATTTGCATTTGGGTCATATATTCGTTGTGTCTCGTGGGTTTGAACCCTGTAAGGAAGGAGAGAGAGAGTGTGAGTGTAGGGGATGAGTGTGTGTATTGATTCTCAGAGGATGCAGTAGACATTGTTCTGAATTGCTCAGAACCTTCCAAGCATCTGTTAGTCACATACTTGGTCCCTGACTCTTCTTGGTATACAAATTGCTTTATAATGCAGCTGAAGCTCCTCTGGCACCACAAGCTGTAGGGGATCAGAGGCTGGAACTTCTATAGAATGGTCTGACAATTCCGGGGAAGGGTACATCTCGCCACAAGGTGGCGCTCCAGCCCTCACGGTCTGACTTCCTCCCAACTCCTCAAGGGGGTGTGAAATGTCTGATTGAAACTGTCTAACCCCCAAAGGAAGATGGTTTTCTCAGAAAGTGAGACACAACAGAACAGGCCTCTTTCCTTCAAAAATCTGCAGTAAAAGAATTCCTTATTTTACTGAAGTATATTTGATATCAAAGTTATGGACAAAAGAGCGACTCAAGGAGACAGACATGGAAGAATCTTCCATGCTTCTCACACAGACTTCTATTTCCAAACTCACTTCAAATTGTCAATGTTTTTCTGATTTCAAAAATAGCAAATACTTATTGAAGAAAACTCAGACAATTATGAAAAAGAAAATACAAATCACACATAGTTCAATCTCTTAGAGATAGCTACTGTTAAGATTTGACAGATTTTCTTGTCTTTTTCCAGTATATGTAAGTATGTATATATAGGTATTATATATACATACGTATATTATATTTATTATATGTATTATATATACATACGTATATTATATTTATTATATGTATTATATATACATACGTATATTATAGCATATACTTACATATTTATTGTATTAAATATATACATATGTATATGTATATATAAGTATGTGTATATATGTATATATTTAATACAATTATTGTATGTATATTTTATACATACAATACACATAATGTATACACAATAATGTATTAAATACAATAATTGTATTTAAATTGTATTTAAATAAATACTAGCATCTGTTAGTCATATACTTGGTCCCTGACTCTTCTTGGTATACAAATTGTTTTATAATGCAGCTGAAGCTTCTCTGGCACCACAAGCTGTAGGGCATCAGAGGCTGGAACTTCTATAGAATGGTCTGACAATTCCGGGGAAGGGTGCATCTGGCCACAAGATGGCCATATTATTGTATTCAATATATACATATATACACATACTTATATATACATATACATATGTATATATTTAATACAATTAAAATAACACTAAATGTACCATTTTGTTTCTGGCCTTTTCAGTTAATGATAATTTTTCTATTTTGTTAAACTTCTCCAAAAACATTAAACTGCATTATGCTCTGATAGTAGATGTACCACAATTAATTCTACCATTTCTCTATTGTTAGCCATGTAGGTTGTTCTTAATTTTCTCATCATTATGAATGCATGTGACAATCATCACTTTACCTAAGTTGTGTCTGTCACTTTTTTAAAGGCCAAGTAAAATTGCAAAGTCAGAGTTTATCTCTGAGGGCAAAAGACAGATTATACTGGATCCAATAGAAATGATTTTAGCTAATTCAGTAGGGGGGATTATGGATCTAGTTAGTATTAGAAAGGATTCAAGGAGTGGATTTTATGGAAGGTGACAGAAGGCAGCTCAGTTGGTGTGGGATGGGCTCCATTTCTGCTTGGGCCTGGCCTTGGCAAAGGCTGGGGCAATTGGAGGTAAAATACAGACCTCTAACCAAGAAAGGGAGCAAGTATGGATGGGCCATCAGCCAGGTGAGAAGGAGAGCCTGGTGCCAGAGATGGGGGATCTTGACACCACATGGAGGTCCAGGTGGGTGGACGGTTTCAGAGGGCTGGTAGGGCAATATGAAGAGGAAGTGTAGGCAAAAGCACTGCGAGGTGCTATTCACATGAAGGCTGGTACAGATCTATAGTACCTTATTGAAAAGGCTTGGGGCCAGAAACAATTCAGCTTTAGGAATCTTTCAGCTTTTAGATAGGTTATTGTCTACATGTATTATATAACATCACCAGCAGGGGCTGGAACAGGAACCTGTAATCAAACACATCTGTATCTCTGCAGGCAAATATTTGAATGTTTCCACTAAATGGTATAATTAAAGACCGTAAATAGCTTCACATAGTTAGATCAGGTTTGCCACTAAATTAGTTCAAAAGGGTCAGTTTGCTGCCAAATGGCTTATGGGGAAAAAAAAAAAAAGCTTTAGAGTCTCTTGGATTTTGGAATTAGGCTAAAGAATTGTGGACCTGGCTAGGTGCTGTGGCTCACACCTGTAATCCCAGCACTTTGGGAGGCAGAGGCAGGTGGATCACCTGAGGTCAGGAGTTTGAGACCAGGCTGGCCAACATGGCAAAACCCCCATCTCTACTAAAAATACATAAAATTAGTCAGGTGCGGTGGTGGGTGCCTATAATCCCAGCTACTCAGGAGGCTGAGGCAGGAGAATTACTCGAACTCGGAGGGCAGAGGTTGCAGTGAGCCAAGATTGCGCCACTGCACTCCAGCCTGGGCGACAGAGCGAGACTCCGTCTCAACAACAACAACAACAACAACAACAACAAAAAAGAATTATGGAACTCTATCATCATTAAGGTGAATAATGTCATTTCAAACTATTTTAAGTATGGGCTATAACATTTTCTGTCTTTTTATTTGTTCTTAAAAAGATTACCCCAGAAGTTTTCGAGAAGCTGGGATTCCCTGCAGCGAAGGAAATAGCTGATATGTGTCGTTTCTATCAAATGAAGCCGGACCGAGATGTCAAGCTCACCCACAGACTAAATCCCAAAGTCAAAAGCTTCAGCCAGTTTATCTCAGAGAACCAGGGAGCCTTCAAGGGCATGTAGAAAATCAGCTGTTCAGATAGGCCTCTGAACCACACAGCCTCTTTCCTCTCTGATCCTTTTCCTCTTTACAGCACAACATTCATGTTGACAGAACATGCTGGAATGCAATTGTTTGCAACACTGAAGGATTTCCTGCAGTCCCCTCTTCAGTAGTAAGCACTGTGTTGGTGATAGGACCCAGTAATCTGATTCACATTTAACTTGCTAGTTAGTGATAAGGGTGGTACACCTGTTTGGTAAAATGAGCAGCCTCGGAACTTGGAGCTTCTCCCCTAACACTAATGGGAAGGCAGATTATACTGGGATTTCTCCTGGGTGAGTGATTTCAAGCCCTAGCGCTGAAATTCCCCTAGGCAGCTCCAGTTTTCTCAACTGCATTACAAAATTCCCAGTGAACTTTTAAGTAGTTTTAATTTTAAAAAATGAACATCTTTGTAGAGAATTTTCTGGGGAACATGGTGTTCAATGAACAAGCACAAGCTCTGGAAATGCTAAAATTCAGTTTTGCTTCACGATTGGAAGTTTATTTTCTGATTCATTCATGAAGTCATCTATTGGGCCACCATTCAGTTATTTGTCTGTTAATTCCTTGATCCTTCATTTATCCATTCTGCAAACTTTTCTTGAGCACTAGCACGGGTGGCACATTTGTGGACTTCGCTTCATTCCTATGTGTTTTCTTCTCAGAGTGATCCCCTCTCAGAAAGGCTCCTTTCCAGTTTGTGGTTGGGTTGGAGTCAGGTCAGGGCCAGAGGGCCCATCTCCCCATTTAGCTCTAGGCAAAATCCAGGGGATCTGCAGTGGGGAGTGGGGACAGGAAGCTGGAGGGAAGGCCTGTGAAGGGTAGGGATGTGGCAAGAGGAGGTGACAGAAGGACCCCATAGGACCTTCCTATATCTCTGGCTTAGCATTTTTTACATCATATTGTAATCGTCTTATTTGCTAGTTTTCTTTCTTTCTGTGAGTGACTTACGCTCATCTTATCCCAGTGCCTGGTACATAATAAGTGATCAATAAATGTTGATTGACTAAATGAGTAAATAATCAATTCTATTATTACAAGAAAAGAGTGGCCAGGCACAGTGGCTGATACGTGTAATCCCAGGACTTTGGAGAGGCTGAGGTGGATGGATTGCCTGAGTCCAGGAGTTTAAGACTAGCCTGGGCAACATGATGAGATCCTGTCTCTGGAAAAAAAAAAAAATTAGCCAGGCCATGGTGTTGTGCTCCTTTGGTCCCAGCTACTCGGAGGCTGAGGTTGCAGGATCACCTGAGCCTGGAGGTTGAGGCTGCAGTGAGCCGTGATCATGCCACTGCACTCCAGCCTGGGTGACAGAGTAAGAACCTGTCTCTAAATAAGTAAATAAATAAACAGATGCATTGCTTGTGTGTATTGGGGGTGTGGTTCTTACTCCCCCAAAAGAACTAGCAACTGCTACTTTTTAAGGGCAAGAGATTGGCCTCTTCTGGGAATGGAGGATCCCCCACTATCCAACGTGTGATGATAGAAGCCCCTGAGCAAGGACAGAGATGGTGGAGCCTGTGTGAGAGCCCTTGGCCTGAAATCTCACTCAGGAGAGGGAGACTTGGTGGTGGCAAAAGACAGCCTTTTCTGTTTTAGAGCTCCAAGCGGTAAGTGTTGAATAAATGATGTTGAAGTTGTTGCAGACAAATTTTGATTCTTGGGGGGCAATCACAATTGAAGTGCATTTGAGGACCAACCCCTCTCCTTTTCAAAATACCAAGCCCCCAGCAATCGATTCAGTGCAACTTAAGTGCTCAGCCCTGGGAAATAGGCCTGGATAAATTTCTAAAAAGGGAAAAGAAAAAGAAAAACAAAACCCTAAACTAAAAATAGGTGACTTATTGCTCATCTGGGTGGGCCAGATGGGAAGAATGACTGCTGTTTCCTAAATAAACCTCAGGGTCCCCCATGTGGAGAGTGACTACAGGCCTAAGGGTCCCCTGGACTTTTTGTGTGTTTGCTGGGATGGCAGGTTGCTTCTTGTTGACCAGGATAGCTGGGCATGGTGACTCACACCTGCAATCCCAGGACTTTGGGAGGCCAAGGTGGGAGGATTGTTTGAGGCCAGAAATTTGAGACCAGACTGGGCAACATAGCCAGACCCTATTTCTAAAAAAAAAAAAACAAACAAACTCAGCCAGGCATAGTAGTGTATGCCTGTAGCCCCAGCTACTTGGGAAGATGAGGCAGGGGAATCGCTTGAGCCCAGAAGTTTGAGGCTTCAGTGACCTGTGATCATGCCACTGCATTCCAGACAGAGTGAGACCTTCCTTCTCTCTCTCATTTTTTTTTTTTTTTGAGACAGGGTCTAACACTGTCATCCAGGCTGGAGTGCAGTGGTGCAGTCACGGCTCACTATAGCCTAAAACTTCTGAGCTCAAGCGATCCTCCTGCCTCCACCTCCTGAGTAGCTGGGACTACAGGCACACAGTACCATGCCTGGCTAATTCTTTTTGTATTTTTGTAGGGACAGGGTCTAGCTATATTGCCCAGCCTGGTCTCAAACTTCTGGCCTCAAGCGATCTGCCTGCCTCAGTCTCCCAAAGTGTTGGGATTACAGGCATGAGCCACCATGCCCGGCCTACCCTGTCTCTTAAAAAAAAAAAAAAGGGAAGAAAGAAAAGAAAAAAAGAAGACTGAGACAGGCCAGGGCTGCATAGCCATGGATCAGTCCCAACAATTGTTTCTGGAAAGCATGAGAAGTCCTTCCAGGATTTAGAACCAGACTTTACAGTGGCTGATCTGAAATGAGACTGTGCACTTTAGGCACCTCAATCTCACATAACAAAGAAGAGAAAAGAACTTCCAATTAGTCTGAGACATTTAATATTTGTTGACATTTTAATATTTAATAATAGTGGACAAAAGATTCCACCACTATCCTCTCCCATTCCTACCCAACAGTCTCCAGGCCAAGGGAAGGAAAGGATTCCCTTTGCAGTTGTTCAGGGTAGAGACCTGGAGACCCAAGAGAGGCACAGAAGGTGGAAATGGGGCCGTGCATCTCAGTGAACAAGAGCACCCTCTGTTGTCCAAGAGTAGATTAGGGTTGGGGGTGTGGGCGATGGAATAGAAAGGATGCAGATCTCTCCCTGTGATTCCAGGAATGACCCTAGAAATCCAAGCTACAAAGTCAGATAATCCTAGATTTGATTGCCTCTGCCACTGACAAGTTGTGTGAACTTGGTCAAGTTACTTGATTTCTGAGCTTGGTCTCCCCATCCTCACTGGGGACTGCTGGGAGGACTAAAAGATTGAAAGCATGAGAGGCAGTTTGTATAGTCTTTGCCAGGTAGTAAGTGCTCAAGAAACAGCTGTAATTATTCTCTCTCTCTCTCTCTCTCTCTCTTTTTTTTTTTTTTGAGGCTCTTATTGCCTAGGCTGGAGTGCAATGGCGCCATCTCGGCTCACCGCAACCTCCACCTCCCGAGTTCAAGAGATTCTCTCCTGTCTCAGCCTCCCGAGTAGGTGGGCTTGCAGGCGCGTGCTGCCACGCCCAGCTAATTTTGTATTTTTAGTGGAGACGGGATTTCTCCATGTTGGTCAGGTTGGTTTCAAACTCCCGACCTCAGGTGATCAGCCCGCCTCGGCCTCCCAAAGTATTGGGATTAAAGGCGTGTGCCACCGCGCCCAACCAAGAAACAGCTATAATTATTCTTGAGCATAATTCCTCCCCTTGCCTCCTTCATATGCCTCCCAAAGTTCTGAGGTGCCTCCTGGGCGGTTCCCGGTGTCTGACCTTGGCCTCCTGGACTGCAGGTTCATCATGCTCTAACCGCCCCCTGCCAGGTGTCCTGTCCCTTCCCATCTCCCTTCTCCCACCACTAGATGGCAGGATGAGTCCAGCATAAGAAAGGATCGCTCCAGCCTCATGCCAGGTGATTTTTCCCAGGGCTTTTTTGGGAAATAAAGCCAAAGGAGATAATTATGCGGCGCATCTTAAAGCCTTGTCGGTTACCCTCCGTGGCCATTTCGACAGACATGCGCTGGTCACCTTCTCTGGAGTGAAGTGCCTTCTCCGTGCTGGATTTGAGATTAAGGGAAGAAAGGGAGGACCAAGGGATTATCCAAAGGCTCCAGCGCTGGCTTGCTCCACGGCAGAGAAAGGCCTTCAGGCTGAGGGTGAGTCTTCTGCATAGAGGGGTCCCAGGCTCTGCTCCAGGAGTGCAGAGCACAGGGCCTGCCCTTTCTCCGCCTGGCAGCTGGGGCCGAACCTTGCTGGATGCTGGTGTTCCTGCTGCTGGCTTCTCCGCCGGTCACACTGCTTGTCATCCTCTCTCCGACCCAAGGGACCTTTGCAACTCTGAAGCCCCATCAAGACTACACAAGGGGCAGAGACGGTTCACTAAAAGGAAACTGGGGCACTGTTAGGAAGTGCACACTGAACGGCTCTCAAACATTGTCCATTCTCCCAAGTAACAGAGCAGAACACTCTGGCAATGTAGTCCTGTCTTGGACTCCTCATGGGAGTAAGCAGGAAGACAATAACATGATTTTTAAACCATCTCGGAGTAGAAGTTGCTATAACATTTCTCTCTTTCTTTCTTTCTTTCTTTCTTTCTTTCTTTCTTTCTTTCTTTCTTTCTTTCTTTCTTTCTTTCTTTCTTTCTTTCCTTCCTTCCTTCTTTCTTTCCTTCTTTCTTTCTTTCCTTCTTTCTTTCTTCCTTCTCTCTCTCTCTCTCTTTTTTTTTTTTTTGAGATGGAGTCTTGCTCTGTCGCCCAGGCTGGAGTGCAGTGGCACGATCTCGGCGATTCTCCTGCCTCAGCCTCCCGAGTAGCTGGGATTACAGGGACCTGCCACCACACCCGGCTAATTTTTGTATTTTCAGTAGAGACGGGGTTTCACCATGTTGGCCAGGCTGGTCTCAAACTCCTGACCTCGTGATCTTCCTGTCTTGGCCTCCCAAAGTGCTGGGATTATAGGCGTGAGCCACCGTGCCTTGGCTGCCGTAGCATTTCTGACGGGCTGCCCGGCTGAGTGTTGCAAGAGGATTAAAAATGTACACACCATTTACTTGGCAAAACTCCTAAGAAACCATCTTAAGTAAATAAACATAAATATAGATAAAATATAATTTTGAAGATTTTATTTGAAAGCATTTTTTTATGAGAGCAAAAAAAAAAAAAACATGGAAGTAAGCAAAATGTTCAGCATTTAAGAAATGGATAATTAAATTACTGAAGTTTAAAAATTCCTTTAAATTTTAAGTTCTTTAGAACTAGCATTTGTAAAGAATTTTTACTGAGACAAATTATGTTTTAAGTGAAAAATATTGGATTATGTCCAGCATTATATCTAGCCTAATCCCAACTGTGTAAACTACATATACGTAGTAAAACATTGGAAGGAAAAAAATGCCAAAATGTTAATAAAGGTTTTCACTGAGGAAAAATTTTGGTTGATTTCTAGTTTCCTTAAGTTTCTTCTTTCCCCTAGTTTCCCATAATACAAATTGTTACTTTTGGCCGGGTGCAGTGGCTCATGCCTGTAATCCCAGCACTTTGGGAGGCTGAGGCGGGCGGATCACTTGAGGTCAGGAGCTCGAGACCAGCCTGGCCAACATGGTGAAACCCCATCTCTACTAAAAATACAAAAATTAGCTGGGTGTGGCAGTGCGTGCGTGTAGTCCCAGCTACTAGGGAGGCTGAGGCATGAGAATCGCTTGAACCCGGATGGTGGAGGTTGCGCCACTGCACTCCAGCCTGAGCGATAGAACAAAGTTTGGTCTCAAAAAAACAAAACAAAACAAACAAACAAACAAAAAAAGTGTTACTTTTATGTTGAACTTGTACGTAAACAAGAGTTATTTTAAAAATTTAACAAATATTATTTATCGATTGTCCTGTCTTCCTTATAACAAATATAATAATTATTTATGAGTGTCTATTATGTCCTAGCCACTCTGAGAGCTGAAGGCATACACTTTCGTTGAATCTTATATCAACACTTTAAGAAAGATTATCTTCTCATTTTACAGATAAAGAAATATACTTCACAGAGTTTAGGTAATTTGCT